TTCTAAGAGTTTCGTGCTGATAACGTGTTATAAAATGAGAGGAAAAGAGAATAGAGAAAACTCAAAGAGAATAAAGAAAACTCAATAAACTTTTGTGTATATTATTGAAAATCAAAGCCCTATATTTATAGGTAAGAATCAAGGATACAATGGTAATAATTTCTAGGGCTACAGGGGTACAAATGTCACTCACCAATAAACTTTAATGAACTTTCCATTTACAACATTTTCATCTATTATCTAAGGTCCCGTATAAAATTTGGTTTAAGGCTCCAAAATTTCAAGAGTGCACCTATCCTTATTCTCTGTAGATTTTAAAGGGTGAATTTTAAAATATTTTTATGTCCCATATCTTTAGTAGCAAAGTTGGCTTGCGAGTTTAGAAATACATTAGGCACTTATCTAAAGGTTGAACCTCAATCTTAAGGGTCTCCACCGCCCCGCCCCTAGAGCTTTGTGAGGAAGGTAAATCGTGGGATGTGCCCCAACAGGTCAGGGAACAAGAGTTTTTTGTACACTGCACCTGTACATTAGGCACTTATCTTACAGGCCACTTGTAATGATAAGTTCTATTCATATCGGATCTCAAATATAGATTGGAGATAATGGATATAATCCAACATGTATATCTTGTTGTACCTTCTATAATCTTATGCAATTTTATGCATTCACTGAATCTCTAACCTAATTTACACGTTCTCCAACAAAACCATATCTATCTTGGGTAACAGATGTTGGAAAAAAAAAGGTAATGTGTGTAGATAAACATATCAATTAATAAATATAAATAACATAATTCAATAATTGCATAAATATAATAATATTATAATTATATAAACATTATAATTCAACAATAAAAATAGAGTTAGAATGTAAGTCTAAGGAAATCACGTAAAAAACGTTATCCTAAGGTTGTTCGAATACTTTCGACACTACATGATTTCAAGATAAAACTCATATAACTCACAGCTAATTCTCCTTCCATCAACACGATCATAGGAAGATAAAGAACGAGTCTTTATCAAATTGCTAAAAGATAAGAAAATATTATGAAATATAGATGTAGTTATTTTTTTTCAAGTTGTGTTTTCTCATATTGTCTATCTCAATGAAAATCACTTCCTTTTATAGGGATAAATTTAACCCCCACACTTATGAGAATTAAATCATTTAAAATGTATGTTACACTATAATATTATTAATCTAATTTTGTATTAAATTGAAATTAAAATAGAAACAACAAATTTTAAGGTATTAATTTGAAAATTTAAAACTTAAAATTATTTATTTTCCAACAATTCCCTACAAGTTTTAAAATTTCAAAATCGATAATATATAATATATAGTGACGACATTATATCGTGTAATAGGTGTAGGTGTCTTTTGGATTTAAACCTCACTTAGTGATAATAATTTCTAGTTGAGGGAACCATAATGACTAAGCCTTAAATTAGGTCTCTTTGGCCAAATTTCAATTGTTCCACACACAGTATTGATTTAGGCTCTAATTCATAGCGGGTAGCACTTTTAATGGCTATGCGCTCTAATCTTGATTTTAGTAAGAGTCTTCAGGGAATAGTCCAATCTCATAGCCGCGGTCTCATAGCAACTATTACATAGATTAGTCCTCCAAAAGTATGTGACCTACACATAGCAAGAATTCTAGCCTCGATACACATTCAGAGTTAAATCCTTCATAACATCGCATTTATTAGCACTATATCACTATAGGGATGAACACAAATAATATAGTACTATTATAAGTCACGTAATACAGGTTGTTTATACCACATTGAACCTTCTTCATATATCTTCAATCACGAAGGTAGGGTTACTCCCAGAAGTGAATCCCTTATGGGGCTTAAACTCTTGATGATTTATATATGTCCATCTTAGACTATAATTATTCACGTCCTTCTTGGACAATAAATTGGTACCATAATATTTACAAGTTCTTATTTTTCGCATGCAATCTGCACATATACAAAGTTTTTTAAAAGATTTGGAAAAAATCAATGTCACGTTTTTCCTTCTTTGTGACCTATGTCCAATCCAAATAACTGTTCCTAGTTGATGGAAAGATCATAACAAGATAAACACATGAAATTTAGAGATTGACTTCTATAACATGTTCGAACAGATACATCCGTTCATCTCTTATATTTACCTACAGATCTATAATTTTTATTTTTTTAACACTTTTCAATGTCAACTTTCTTGACAAAGAACAATAAAATATAAGATGTATCTATCGGAAATTTTAAACATCCTCACATTTCAAAGATATCCATCTTGAAGAACTTTTTTTCATTTGCTCTAGATTTAGATCTAGACTTGTATTTACTCTATCTTTCTTATATTAATTATACATTTCTAGCTGAAATCAAAGTAACACCGAAGCTCATTAGAAACATCAAAGTCATCTAGTGCTGAGATAATTTAAGTTCATTATCTCAGGTCATTTAATGGAAATACAATCATCAGAACAATCTACCTTAATTTCAGTGTAGAAAGTCAAATGGAAATACAACCATCGAAACAATTTGCCTTAATTTCAGCACAGAAGATCAAATTGAATATTCATAGACAACCAATCGTGTAACATATGGTAAAGATCAACCAGTCTCATGATGCCAGTTTCTATTCCCTCTACGATTTTCTTTCTCATGTAAAACGTGCTTGTATGCTTCTAACGAAAATCCAAATTGTAAAACTTACTTGAAATCACCAAACAGAGGTTGAATCACGTGCCTTTTGTTTGCTTGTTTTCTACACTGTTTTGTACTCACTCCTTGGTCGGAAATTCAACCGCAAAGGAAAGAATTTGATAGCCACAATCCAAGAACCTAATTTGAGATGATATACTTTCCAATATCAAGCCACCATCCTCAAGTATTTTTCTCTCTTTTTTATACGAATTTTGTATGTTATTTTTCATATTCTTTGATGTGGAAGTTACGAATGGGAGTTGTGGATCGTGGGAAGTTGAGTTTCAAGTTCAATTTTCTCGACTTCCTCAACTTCTTCCTCCAATAACACTAATATAATTTGGGTTGGGTTAGCTCACATGGGTGACCCATTTTCACCCAACATATCAATTACACCAGAATTAAATGGACAAATATTCAAGTTCATAAATCACAAACCATCAAATTCAAAATCCCAAAATAAAACCGAAACCCAGCAATTACCCCATAACAAACTCATACATGGGAATTTCAATAAAGTATGGTTTTAAATAATCTCGAACATGTCTGCTAGTCAAAAACAAAATTTATTCTGGACGATCTACATTACCCCATTTTTTCAGTAGCATAACCGAAATCATATACATTGTACATACATGTAAATTGCAAGATCATCTTTCTCGTCATTGCATATATAGCCTATTTGAGACGACAATAGACATCTAAAATTGCTCCTAATAATCTTTCTGATAGGTTAGAAATCAATAGCACACCTTGGTTGGTTATATCCATATAAAATTAGCCATTTCTTCAAATCACTTAATCAATGTCCTTTTATATTCGCATGCAAGAACAATGATTGATTTAAACAGCAAGAAAATACCTTTTCCTCAAGAAATTCTATTAGACCTATAAATAATGAATGCTTCCTTAACTGACTGCAAAGAATAACCTTCATGCAAATGGGCATGTCAGAAAATGGAAACAGTAATTTGGCCTATTGCATTTTGTACAGATACTAATAAAGATCTTGAAACAAACTAAGATGTCTTCAAAAAAGAAAAGAAAGAAAGTATGTTATCTTCTAGTGCTGTCATTGATGTCCTTAGAACATAAATTTGAGAACAAGTCATCTATCAAGCAGAAACTCAATAGGCAGACCCCCAAGTTTGGACACTTTTTTTCATTGGGTTTTCCTTTTCTTTTCCCAAGTCAGCCTCACTGAACCTATCAATATTGTTATTGATAGGAAAAGAGGCAATGGAAACCGCAGACAGTAGTGACCTTTATATGAAGCAAATAGGAGGAAATTATCCCAGCAATTTCCTGCGTCACAAAGGTTTCCAAGCAGGGGCGGACGCAGACATTTTAGACTAGGGGATCGGTAACGAACTTTTAAAAAAGTGATGAAAAAATTAAAATAAGATACATCTTATTACAATTGCTCTCTACGTGTTCTCGTACTTTGATAACGTTCCATAATTATATAATTTTCAATCTTATCAAAAACATCTTTCTCAATATATGCAATCAAACTATCATTCAACCATTGATCTCCAATTCGATTGCGCAGACAATTTTTTGACGTAAGTCATCGTAGAAAATGCTCTCTCGACTGTAGCAGTAGTCACGAGAAGAACCGAGGTTAGTGTCACAAGTTTGTAGACTAATGGATACACTTCATGTTTATTCTTCACAACCAACTTCTGTGCAAGATCGCTAATGTCTTGTAATTCTTCAAAGTCTTCAGAAGTGCACATATAAAGAATATACGTATCTAGTTGATCATTAAGTTCTAGGATATCTACTGCATCAAAATCTAATGGATAATACTGACATAGTCGAATCAATTTGATCTTGTCAAAAGCAGCAAATGAATTATTTGGAGATAAACACGCAACACAAATAAGCAAGTCACTATTTACTTCAGAAAAATGATCATTCAACTCTTGAAGTTGCATATCAATGACGGCATAAAACATTTCTACATGAAAATGATGCAAATTTGTCACTATCTCAAGCCGTGAACGACCTACAGTTAGGAACATATCATCCATATCAGAAACATTCATCTTGTGAGTTTCACGAAACGAACAATTCACTCTAAAAAAAGAATCCTATCCATCATCTCTCATGGTTTGGAGCTGTGTTTTACATATTTGCATCAATTTCATAGCATTGACAATATTTTGAGCTTTTCTTTGTAATGCTCTTGACAATTCGTTTGAAATCCCTAAAATATTTTTCATGAGATATAGATTAAATGCAAATTCAAATCTTAACATCAACTCCAATGAAATGCATGCATCACCTCTTGTTCTGGTACTTGTAAAATCAGTAGCAATTATCTTAATGACGTCGACTATAGTTGAAAACATGGCAATCAAGTTAATTAAACAACTATAGTGAGAGCCCCAACGTGTATCACTAGGACGCTGAATAGTAATTTCTTGATTGAGACCCCGTCCGCTTGATATTTCACCAATACTGAGTGATTCAAGAATTTTCAATGTTTGGTTCTCTCGAATAAGATCACTCCGTTTAGTTGATCCTCCAACAATATTCACCAATCTATGTACTGTAGTGAAGAAAGTTTCAATCTTCGGATGTTTCTGTGCCACAGCTATAAGAGCTAGTTGAAGTTGATGAGCAAAGCAATGAATATGGTAAGCACTTGGATTTTCTTTCAAAATAAGTGCTTTGAGGCCATTATACTCACATCGCATGTTACTAGCTCCATCATATCCCTGACCTCTCAAATTAGATATGCTTAAACTATGCGTTGAGAATAATTGATCAATTGCAGCCTTAAGTGAGGCACCTGTGGTATTTAAAACATGAATGACACCAATAAAATATTACAATATACACCCATTCTTCACATAACGAATGATAACTGACATTTACTTTTTCACAGAAATGTCTCGAGATTCATCAACTAAAATTGAGAAGAAACTATCACGAACATTTTCGATAATCACATGTAGACATTCAGAAGCAATAGTACTTACAATATCTTTTTGCACTCTTGGTGATATTAATTTCAAATTTTCAGGTGCATTTGTCAAAGCAACGGCCTTAATATCAGGATTATGATCACACAACCAATGCAATAGTTCAAGAAAGTTTCCTTGATTGTTTGAATCTTCAGATTCATCATGTCCACGAAATGTCATCCCTTGTCGTAGAAGAAATCGAACACAATTAATTGAAGCATTTAATCGGATTTTATAATTTGTTCGAGCTTGATGCGATTGTTCAACGAGACAAGATCCAATACTTTGTTCTTGATTCTTGAACAATTCATATTTGACCCGAGCTTGATTGTGTGCACTACTTGAAGTCCCAACGTGTTTTCTTATATATTCTTTCTTTTTCCAATTTGAGAATCCGCCTTTAACAAATGAACCATCATTCAAACCGAAAAGATAACAATAAAAGCAAAAAATTGCATCCTTTACTATACTGTATTCCAACCAAGTGGGATGCTCATTATACCACGAAACACAAAATCGTCGGTCTATTTTACCTATTCTTATGGGTGGACATATATGATTGCGAGGTTGACAAGGACCTCTTTGCATATATGCTCTTCGAATCACATCTCGAATATTAACATCATAATTTTGTATTGGAACTCTCAATCCAGGATCAGAGGGAAGCTGTGCAATATCAAAATCCCCAACATCTCCAATATCCTCAACATTTTCAACGTCTCCAATACCCCCAAATTCAATATCAACATCTCTAATGTCTCCAATACCCCTAACATCTCCAGCATCAACATCAACATCCCCAACATCGTTTTCATCCCTTTTCTTTCGAACATTCCTTTCACCGATATTTTGTTCATCACAGGAAATCGTAGATGTATGTTTAAAGTATTTTTCCATAACTGAAACAAACCAACCAAAAATGAAAAATCAACAAGATTAGAAATGCCTAAATCAGTTTATACTATGTCATACCTACCAAAAGTAAGACAGAGTTTCAATCTTCCCAAATCAATATTATCAATTTACATATAAATAAGTAACAAAGCCCTAAATCAGAAAAGGGTCAATTTCCTAAATCAAAGCCCTAAATCAGAAATCTCTAAATTACATTTATTGGGCAGGTTCTAGAATCATAATTGATTAATTGTATTGTACATAAATCCAAATTTAGAAATAGAACTAACCACTGCAGAGGCAGCAGAGCAATTACGGTTATGGAGAAGAATTCAAAGAAAAAATTTGAGTAAATGTAAAGCTTCTAACCTTCAAGTCAGTAGAACCGGAGTCCGCCCCTGAGTAATTGCCGAAGAGATTGACAGCTCGTCGGCACTTGCGTCGGTTGTTGCAGTCGCATCTCGCATGGAGGCGGTCCAGGTGGTCGACTGGCTGGTGCATGTGAAAGACTAAAGAGAGGCAGTCAGGGTCATGCACAAACGATTGGCTGCAGGGGCGGGGAAGGAGCGGTGGTCGGTGGGTGAGTGCTTTGTGCTTCAATGGTGGGAGTCACTGTGCGAGAGACGAGAGTCGAGAGAGAGAGAGATACTGTAGAAGCAGGGAAGAAATTGTGAGTGTTGTCTATTTTGAATTTTGACCTACTAATTTATTTATTTTAAAATAAAAAAAAATAATAAATAAAAAATAAAACCCTTAAAAACTAGAGGGTCAATTGACCCTACATGCCCCCCTTCAGATCCGCCAGTGTTTCTTAGGAGTAGTTTTGGAAAATCACGTAAACTTACTCTCGATATTCAACAGAAGTGTAATATGTCTATTGTTAAGATTTAAGGTCATGAAGTAGGTATCAGAAAACAGGCAAGACTAATAGAAGTTTAATATTGATGGGAGGAAAATATTAGTTCAGCTGCTACTGATTTTCCTTTCATGGCTATTCTCCAGCCAAATAGGTAGTCTTCTCTTTGCCAAAGCTCGACAAGCAAGAAATGGCCAGGACATTGAGAGATTTCTATTAATGGGTGTTCTTGGATTGCAGGAATTGCATTTCCGGCACATATTAATTTCTGCTGATGTGCTTCGTCGACTAGGATTTCAATTATGTGGAGTTTTTTATTTCTACCATTGTTTGGAATGCTTCCAAGACAGTAAAAATATATTACAGATATAAACAAACAAATTAAAAACGTCAAGGATGGTGTAGAATATCGTAAGCAACAAATAGAATTCAAGAGAGATTCAAATGAATTTTGTTGCTTGATTTGGTCACACAATCAAAATATTGTGACCATCATAATCTGTACATAGAAGATATTAGGACTGCAGAAAATTAATTGTTTTCCTCTTCATATTTCCATATCCTATTAGTATCTCTTCTAGCTCAATGCTCTGTCCAACTTACCTATAGAAGTCGAACAAGAACAAATCAGAAATACGGAGCCTTCACTGACTAAAGATCACATATGCGATTCATCTACTCAAATCTTATCAACACGACTTTAAATTTTTGGGAAAATAGGTGATTTGAGTGTAGATAAACATATCAACTAATAAATATAAATAACATAATTCAAAATTGTATATACATAAAAATATTATAATAATATAAATATTATAATTCAATAATAAGAAGAGAGTTGGAATGCAAGCTTTAGGGTATCCCGTCAAGAACGTTGTCCCAAAGTCATGTTGTCATCCCCTCGTACAAATACTTTCGACATTACATGGCTCAAAAATAAAATCCTTGTGGCTCATAGACGGTTTCCTTATATGTGTACGATCATATAAAGATAAAGAACAAGCCTTTATCTAATTGTCAAAATATAGAAAAATATTATAAAATATAGATATAATTATTTTTTAAAGTTACGTTTCCTCATGTTATCTATCTCAATGAAAATTACTCCCTTTAATAAGGACAAATTTAACCCCTCCACACTTATGATAATTAAATCATTTAAAATGTATGTTATACTATAATATTATTAATTTAATTTTGTATTAAAATTGAAATTAAAATAGGAAAAAAAATTTAAAGATATTAATTTAAAAATTTAAAACTTAAATTATTTATTTTCCAACAACTGAATCGTTCAAAGTGATATGCCACTAATATTATATTTTCTTTTTCTTACCTCACCTTTCCCTTCAGAATGGCACGAGATCTTGGGATTGGATTTGTGAACATAAAAATACTTTCTTTTCCCAAATTTTGCGATAGTAATATTATCCAAAACTGCTAAAAGATTGGTAATTTATATTTTATTGTTACATTTTTGGAAGGAGTTGTACCGCGTTCCTTTTTCGTTCTTCTCTCTCTCAGTTTCGAGTTCACACATTATATAAATATTTATACATGGATTTCGGGGACTGTTGTTATATGTTCTTTGCAAAGAGGCCCTACTTGGGTCCCACTTAATAGCTGAACCGAAGTGGATGGATTAAGCCCATGTGTGCAAACCCACTAGCCCTACATAACCAAACCCATAACCGAACCCAGGAATAACCGAACAGCTCAGGGAAAGGAGGCAAGATTAACGTGACAACTCCCTGCCACAGCCGCCACAGTTAACTTACTTGGTCAAATCAACTGCTGCAAGCTACAACTTATGGAAGGGAAGTTGACATTAGCATTAATACACTGTGATTGATTGATGCATATGATGGGAAGTTAAGTCTAAGAGGATATAACCACGTGTCCTCTTATCTGACGATCTACACTCGCTATCTCACACTATAAATGCTCACACTTAGTGTCATTCAAGGGAAATGTAAGTTCAGATTTTAATACTATAACTTTGCTCTCTATATTTTCTACTTTATTCCCAATATCGACCCCCTTTTTTATATAAAATGCTCACGTTAAAAGCCATCCCACACTCGTACATTTCTTTTCAAAAACTGACTTGACCGTCGGAGCGTGCGGCCAGCTCCACCCCCACCGGAGAAGGCCACATGTGATGTGACTAACGGTTTGTTCTAGTGTGCATGAATATGGTTTATCTGGACATAAGAGGTCTTGGGATCTACTGGCTATGCTAGAGGTGCATTTTTCGAGGTCAACAAGATGTACAGAAGGATGGAATCAATAAGTTTACGTAAAGCTTAGATATTTCTCTCCAGAAAGTCTTAATTGTTATCAAAATATCAATTCAAGAACTATATGTTGTTTTACATGATCTCTATCCCTCGAAACCATTCTAACTGTTGGGTTTTTGATACCCAATAAATTTCGAGTTATGATATTAACATATGAATATATATTTCATAGGCCTAGGCTCATGAATGAAATAAGTACCAACAACCAAGTCCAAAAATAAGCTCTATTTGGTCCAATTATATTACCTTTTGGATGATTTTGAATCTTGACCTGTTTAGCTTTGTTATTAGTCAAATTAAAAGCCTACCCCAACCCTATTTATGTGGTTTAAACCCTAGTCATTTTAATGTGTGATTTGTGTGTGTAAAATGAAGAAAATTGGCTGCCCCTTTGAAGAGAGAATCTGGCTCCTTTGTGGTCCCCAAAACCGGTGGATTGCTTTGGGGATTTTGATCTCTTCCTTGCCTCCTTTGTGGTGTTTTTCTTCTTGTCTTTGAGATTACAAATCATCATTGTTATCTTGTCCTTCATGGGCGAGATTGAGAAACAACCGAGATGAATATATTGATTGTGGATCGGAGCAAATTGGATTGGTTGTATGGTAGAAAAAGATAACATTGAACTGAGGTCGAAAAACACATTTTTGATGATCCTTGGAGGAAGCTTCCGCGACACTGACGAACTTGGATTCTTGGAAACTCCCTTCATTTGATCGGTTAAAGCTTATCAAGTCTCAAAAAATTTAGGCAAAGCAAGTTGGAAGGAACCGGTAGATCAAAAGTTACATGATCTATTACTTTAGTTGGTAATCTTGTTGCTTATAATAGT